CATTGCGTGCTGCGGGGGAAAGCCTGTTCTAATGTTTGAGTCTATTTTTTTAGCACCTGACCACCCCTTTTTGCTTCTCATCCGTAAACTCTCTCCATACTCGTTCATGTGATTCTTGCGTAGGTGGTTGAAGAGGTTTGTCGTGTTTGAGTCTGTGGTAGGGACCTGTTTACGGCATAATTTGCATAGTACAGTTTTCTGGTCCGTGTCAGACTTTTTCATAACCAAACCCTGTCCATGCTACAGCAGTAGCCCCTCCTTTAGGAATAAGGTCCTGGATTTGTTTTGACTGGTCCTTCTGTTTGGAGCTACCTGGTTCTGCTTCATCTTCACTGGCCATGCTGGTATTCTCTGTGCATGCATCCATGTGGTGACTGTAAGCACCATTTATAGCTACTTCATGTTTTTATTTGAGGTAATTTGTTTGATGCATATTCTGAAATTTGATGTTTGAGAATGATGTATATAATTTCAGTTTATTTTGAAAAGTCTCAACAGGATCTTGAGCTTTAATATGAAAGGTTTATGTGGGAAAATAAACAGAATAAGCAGATGGCGGAGTCACACGATTGTTTTTGCTAACGAAAGTACGCATAGAAACAGTCATCTGTCTGTCCATAGTGTGGTTATTTTAAATATAAGCGCAAGAGAGAACTTTAAGAAATTAATATAGCCACTACAGTGACCATCAAAACGATGAAAAAATATTGCCATAAACAGTTTATTTTGCGACACCACGAGACAAACAATAGCGTAATAAGAAAACGATAGATGTTTTCATATTGGCATCCAATATATATTGTCCTATTGAACAACCCTACTTCTGCTGCAGCGGCATCCCACAGTGGAGAATCAAGGGTGACTCCCCAAGAAGACTTAGCTTGAGCAAGTTGAAGACGATCTTAAATGACGACGTCTAACCCTTGAGTAAGCAAAGGTCAAGGCCACAGATCACAAGGCCTGGAAGTGCATCGTTGACCAAGATGGAAACCCTACAACACCCACGGCAATGTATTGGCTTCATGCATGACCTCTCCTGCTGACTGCCAGCTAGGGACAAAAGATCTCTCCTTTACTTTCTACATGGACTATCTACATGCAGCCATGTGATCGAACATAACTGGTCAAACTACAAGCCGATTCAAAGAGAAACCAGAAAGCCTTCATGTTTATATGCACATATGTGTTTGTACAGCATCTTAAACAGAAAATATCTCCAACTCTAATGTATTCTCAGGAAAAGCATTTAGGACTGCAGTACTTACCACCTAGAGCTTGCTTCATTACAAAATCCATGATTCCTGCTGATTAGTACAGATGTTCTTCTTCAAGCTGGAGACAACTGAGCATGCAGCCACCAAGCCCGGGATCTGTGAGTGTCTCAGTTCTTCCCCCTTCCTCTGTGATGCCGAGCGTCTTCAGCAACTCTCTGCTGGACACAAGAGATTGAAAAAAGAAGCAATTAAACAAACCATACAGCTGTAAAACAGTAAACTGTTTTCCTCACATAGAAAAACACACCAGTGATTTGATTTAAATTTAAGCTTTTGCAGCTGTAAACAATCATATTTCCTCCTTTGTAGAAAGTGCATGATTACATCTCCAAACACGGTGAAAGATCCGCAACACGCCTGGCATCAGGCAGCATGAGACAGCATTTCCTTCTGAGTTTAAAACAACACATAATGGGATCTTTTTAACACTCTTTACCCCGTGACAGATATCCCTTCCTGGGAAGATCGTAGATCAATACTGAGCCCTTTTGCTCTGAGTCACTTATCCGACTGTAACTGAATACCAGAGCAGTCAATAAGTGGTCATACATATTTAATGGAAAAGTGAAAGAAATGCAGTTGTTTTCTATTTAGATTGACCTGAAACATATGAAAAATACTAAACATGTATGAGAAAATCAGGCTGTGCTCACTCATACAGCATCAACATAAAAACACACACTAGATTCATGAGAATGAAAAATCCTGTCTACATCAAAAGTCTATATCTAATTAATATTTCATACACTATGCTAATCTCACTGTCTCACTTTCAGAAGCGACTTCGTGTATTTCAACCCAGCTGGTAATAAAATCACTTTTGCATAAATTTCATCTTTAGCTAAATCTGATTTACTCAGCTTCAGTAAAGCTGCAGGTTTGACTGTGATTCAGTGACTGCAGTGCACACTTTTGTGTCTGTAATCAGAATTATTATTTAAACTGATTCTCAGAATAAATCGATCAGGTGGAATTACCAGCTGAGACATCGACTGTGCAGTAAAAAACTGTCGTATCATCTGTACAGAGCAGAGACTGCAGATGAAAAATGTGAGCATGTAATGATTATTGCTGCTTTTCTGGAGTACTGATGGAACAAACTGTCATAAGATCTGATACTTGAAGATAAAATGCTGAGAATATGGCTGCATGTACAGGTCCTATTAAAGAGGTAATGTATGGATTTAACCGGTGCAAGAAAATAAAAATCCAGAATGTAAATAATGCAAGAGTGAATATGCATCTTGAAGAAGAAGCTCAGAAAAATTTAGCTAGCTGTAATATCAAATCCAGGAATTTGGATGACATTGGTACCAACTAGGGCTGCCAAGATTAGTCGACTAGTCACGATTACGATTTAAAGTTATAGTTTTTACACAGCTGAATAAACGTCAAGCAGACAACTGATTATCAGAAATGTGCGATGCTCGAGAATATACTCCGGTGTCCTGTTATATTTTAGATAGCAAGGGGTTTATTAAACTTCACCGAAACAATCTGCTAATTTCATTAAAATTTAACAAACTATCATCTTGTCTTTATTTTTAGTTAGTACATACCTTAAACACTTAAAGCTGTAAGCTAATGATAGTTATATAAGAGCAGATGCATGCTGGTGCAATAAGCTGTACGTTTTACGTCCAATGGATGCATGATCTGATTAGTCGACTAATCGCAAAAATAATCGGTGACTAGTCGACTATCAAAATAATCGTTTGTGGCAGCCCTAGTACCAACTACTATATTTTCCATCCATCCATCTTCTTCCGCTTATCAGGGGCCGGGTTGTGGGGGCAGCAGCCTAAGCAGAGAAGCCCAGACCTCTCTCTCCCCGGCCACCTGCTCCAGCTTTTCCGTGGGAACCCCAATGCATTCCCAGACCACCTGAGAGATATAATATCTCCAGCGTGTCCGGGTACTTAAACTCTTCCACTTGGGGCAGGAACTCATCCCTGACCTGGAGTGGGCAGTCCACCCTTTTCCAGCTGAGGACCATGGCTTCAGATTTGGAGATGCTGATTCTCACACTCAGCTGTGAACAATTCCAGTGCAAGCTGGAGGCCATGACCCGATGAAGCCAACAGAACCACATCATCTGCGTAAAGCAGAGATGAGATTCAGAGACCACCCAAGTGAAAGCCAAATTGGCTACACCTAGAAATTCTGTCCATATAAATTACGAACAAAATCCGTGACAAAGGGCAGTCCTGGCAGAGTCCATCACCCACCGGGAACGAGTCTGACTTATTGTTTGCTTTGCAGACCAAGCTCTTGCAATGGTTGTATAAGGATCGAATGGCCGGTAGCGATATTCCCGAAGCACCTCCCACAGGACACTCCGAGGGACACAGTCGAATGCCAAATCTATTATATTTTTTTAAAGTAAAACATCTAATTTATTATGGTGACATTAAACTGGCCAACACCGTGCATGTTCTTCAAATAGTTGACACTAAGGAGATGAGTGATAAAACTATGGTAACAGTTTGTTAGCATTGACAACGCTAGCAGTGCAGATTTTCTTCCCATCTGAAGAAAACATGCACAATATGTGCTGTGCAAAGTTTGGATTTTAAGTTTTCTTTTTTCTTTGTTGGCTTCTTGGTCATTAGACAAATTGCAGCCTGAATGCTCATTGGCCCATTCTGAATACAGTGCCCTATCCTGTGCTGCTGTATAAACTCACTTGTATCTATTTGATTAACTGTGCAAGTGGCAGCCAAGATGAAATCCTCCACATTTATTGCACCTGGCGAACCAGAACAGCATTTCCATTTTGAAGCAGATCTCTCCTGCTCACCTCGCTGAACACTCGTGGCATCATTTTGATACGCCAGTATTTGCCAGGGCTGAATGGTGCCGGGATGAAATAGGAAGGGACGGCAGATTGAGCTGCACAGCTTATTCTGGGAGGTGACACGGGAGACGAGGCCGAGTGGGATGGCAATCCATTTGTAACTGTGACCGAGCGCCTCGAGGGGTGAAGTACCTCATTTCAATACACACACATTCAGAAATTCAAAATCGGCATGCTCACCCACACGCAAGATTTGATTAAAAAGACTGCAAATGTATGCTGATAGACAATAGAAGAAATGTCAGACTGTTAACCTGGTGAGGAGAGTAAGTGTTTCTGCATGAATGTGTGCGTGCTTACGGAGAGGTGCATGCAGAAATATGTGACTATCATTTGAGTTTAACTGGAATCACATGTGAACTCTGAACAGCTGTGTATGTGTGAGTAAAGTCTCTTTAGTCATAAGCTGTTGGCTTTTCCAGTTTCCAGCCTCAGTCCAGTGACATGTAACTGGCTGGACCTTTGCAGCCTGTTGTTTACATGTTGTAGCTGTGTACTGACACCAGGGGGCAGTGTCAGAAATACGCTGACCAGCTGGTCTGGTCTGGCTCATGTTTTTGCTGTTGTCAGACCTTTAGCTTAGCCGCTCCTACAGGTATGACCAAAGTCGTAAAAGAGGAAGAATGAGTGTTTTAGCGAACTGAACGTGAACATTATAAACAAAGAAAACACGCCATTGCAGCCCACTTGGGCTTGTAATCACATTTTTTTGATCTTTAATTTATTTTTGTGCTTCTTTCTGCTCCTAAATGCTGCAGTTGCTCCTTCTCTATTGAAGCCCACTTTTCAACCACACCACGTGCGTGTTGCATTCTTAAAATGAAGCGCCTTGAGGCGACTTATGTTGTGATTTGGCGCTATATAAATAAAATTGAATTGAAATTGAATTGAATTAAAATCCATCACAAATGCACCACAAACTGCACTTTGTGATAATTAGTCATTCTAAGCTGGCTGTGTAGGTGTTGCCTCAGCGTCTGGTGCCGTCCAAGCTGACTTCTTACAGACCTGACTAGCTAAATCAAACAGGTCACTTTGGTTCAGTTGGAGGTGAAAGTGGGTTTTTTTCCTTCTGTCTTGAGTACTTTTTTGGTCACTGTCTCAACAAGACGGCAGCTGTCGTGGTAAATGTCCCGGCTGCTTTAAGAAGGTCAGAGGTTACCTGCAGTTCAACTATTAGATATTAAACTCATTCTTTTAACCACTGAGAAAGAGAAACAAATATATATACCTGTGGCCTTTTGGATGAATGGACTGCATTCATACAGCTGCACAGCTCTAGTCTTCCAAACCACTCAAAGTGCTTTATACTACAACCACATTTACTCACACACACACACTTTTATTATAGCAATAAATATACAATTTAACTATCACGCACAGTTTATGGGCTTCTGATAGCGAGCGAGCCTCTGTGTCCTTCAACAGAACAATGAACACTGGAAACAGACGCCACACAACGAGGAAAGGATTCTTTCTTATTATGCTGTTTTCCTGAAACTTCTATATGTGTGCATGTGCTTTTCTAATACCACTGTGGCCAACTTTCTGGTGCATGAATAACACAGCATGTAGTCCCTGCAGTACGTAATTTGGGTTATTTTGAACTGTGAATCATCCAAAGCTACTGTAGTGGAGTCCAAGAATAAAAATCTAGTGCTGGAAATGAGCAGAACAGGCCCACACTTAGCTAAATGTCACATAACTGGTGCCTTGGGCTTTATTATACACAACAATAAGTGAATATTAACGATCAGCAGTGATGTAAGGTGTAAAGTTACTACAAAACTAGCACACAGGAGCGCCGATGGCAAATAATAAACGAAGAAGTTTTTGTTGTCATATTGCAGTTTTTTTATGTTAGATTTTGTGTATTTTATTGTATTTTGTATTTTTTTGTTATGTATTTTCATAACAATGATGAAAAGAAGTTCCACAACACTTTATGTATCTGCTATCGGGGGGAAGACAGTGGGTGTGTGGCTGCTGTGTGTTTGTGCGTAGCGTAATCGGCTGCTGACATTCATTGCTGTAATGTATAAAGATACAGGAACCCATCTGAGCCCACGCATCCCTAACAGGACGGGCCATGTGTCCGTGTTTAATACAATTCCAGCTGGTCAGGTGTGGCATGTTTCTGTGATACAGTGAATGTGGGTTTTTTCATAATAATGTTTTTTTACTGTTTGTAACAAAGGCAAAGATAAGATAAGCTTCCAACCCTGAGCTGGAAAAAAATTGAAGACTGGATGTATGTTGTTTTTTTTCCTGGTATTTCACCTGAACAAAACGTGCAGCAGC